ATCGACGCGGAGAGTCACAAAGTAGTGCTAAAATCGAAGCATCAAGCTACCAACTCCTGCCTCGAAAACATGCGTGATGATGACGCTCGTCAGTAAAGCATATTACCTGGTGCCTTGCTAAGCACGCTGACCTTCTCCCATTGGCCACTCCGTAACGTCTCAACGGCTCAAATTTCTCCATAGGAACGCATGATGTCCGCTCATCGAGGACGCACCCAGTTGTGACCCCGACAAGCGGAGGGACTAACTGTATGAGTCCAAATTTGACCGACCACGACCGACGGCGAGTACGACGATTGACAGAGCCTCCTTGAATTTGACGTCCTGAGGGAGACGACCCTGAGAGAAACCAGAGACTGGACGACCTTTGTAATAATGTATGACCATTAGGGAACATTAGGAATATTCCTTGTATTTTATCTTTTACAGTTTAGAAGAGTTTCTCTCTTAGTAAAAAAAGAGGACAATAATCTTGTAACGTGTATTCCGAACTCTGGAGACATTACTATTTACGAATAAAAAGAAATCACGTGACCTATCCTCTCTTTATCTATCACCCTTTCTAGAGATTATTATTCTCAGCTAAGATTTATCATTTCTTCTTTGATTGATTTGTTCAAAAAGGTTTTAATATCTTTTGAATCAAAGAGCGTTCTCTAAGTTTTAGCTCTTTATCACAATGGAACAGTGTGAAGTGCCATGAGTATCATCAGGAGAATTTACTTCCACAATACCATACAAACATAGTATATATATACCAAAAAGAAACGACAAGCTTGATTAATTGCGAGGAACAAGTTTACAGAAAAGTGTACCCATTAATAGTTTACTAATGGTAGTTAGGACTTTGATTATCATTATAAAAAAAAAAAAAAAAAAAAAAAAAAAAAAAAAAAAAAAAAAAAAAAAACCTAAGAGCTAAGCCATCCCCCCCACTTTGGTTTCTTCTTCTCCAAACCTTCNAAAAAAGACTGGGCGAGAGTCGTAGATCAAGCCCTACCGCGATCACTAACTCTATCTCTACATATAAACTTATTCCCCTTGTATTGCACCAAAGTTGCTCCCCACAAGGCAAACATATTTTTAGCAAATATCCATCTCTTTTAAAAAGAAAAAGAATGAGAGGTCCGTCTTTCCACTTATGTATCGCTAGTACATAAACTATATAGTAGTATTTTTTAAAATTATACTAATTTGGTAATACACATCTAAGGGTTCCCACTATCTTTAGCAGATGTGACAAATTGCTCATCGTGCACAACCTCGGTTAAGCAAATAGAGGAACACTTAAGAGGCTAAAAGTCCATAATATAATGTCTCAGTGAGTTGTGCGATTTATGCACTTGCAGAGTTGCAGTTCTCAAGACAAATTTTTGGTGGTCAAATGATCAAGTCCAGAGAGGCGATAAGAAGACAAATCTAAATAGTCTTAGCAATTTAGCAGAGTCCGAAACCTTTTTAATCATTTTTTGGACAAAAAACACTTTTGTACTATTTTAAAAAAAGTTACATAAATAAGTAAAACGCAGTATTATACTGCGAATTACTTTAATGGAAATTTTGCCGTTAAATTAATTCGCAGTATAGTACTGCATTTTACTTAAAAAATTATTTTTGTTTTGTAATTCGCAGTACTATACTGTGTTTTACTAAGATGCTGGGCCCAACTATATTTTATTAAAGTTGTTCGCAGTATTATACTGACTCTGCTTCCTTGGACCACTGAACCGAAGAAAACCAACACCTTCGATTCTGCTGGTCACCCCCGCGTCAAACTTCAAAAAAAAAATTTGGGCATCACCCGTCACCTAAAGAGCAAGGAGTGTAGGTCCCACATACAAGACAAGCTTTGGATTCCTTCTTTCGGGTGCAAAAATTCGATTTCCATCAAATTTAAAAAACTTAAATCGAGGTATTTCAATTTTGTTTATGTCGAAACTCGTATAGTACATGCATATTTGTATTGTTTAATGTGTTTCCATGTTAATTTGTGTTATGTTTATGTTTAAATTTGTATCTTATTTATATCCGGATTGATTTATTAGCTTTGGTACAAAAAATTGTTAAAATCTGATAAATTATTTGTATTGTTAAAAAATTAATATTATTTATTTTGTTTGTTGTTCATATTTGTATTTTATGTTAGTTGTTTTTATATATAATAGTGACCTTTTAGCGTAGTAAAATAAATAGTCTTTTAGTGTAGTAAAATATAGAGCATTTTAGTGTTGTAAAATATAGAGCCTTTTAGCGTAGAGTCTATGTAGTTTAAGTATGTAGTAACTGCAAACTCTATCCAATTACACTTTACAAAATTAATTATTTAATTATAACAATAAACTTACAAAAGTAACAAATTCCTATATGTTGTAAAATTAACTCAAATATCGAGCCTGGAACCCATACATAATTATTCTGTCCAATTTTAAATATAATTAATTATTTAATTTATTAAGCTAGCACACACAATTCTAAAAATGTTAAAATTGACACGCATAATAATTAAGGATAACTCGGTGCTACCGGGCCTCAAAAATCGAGCCTGGAACCCATACATAATTATTCAGTCCAATTTTAAACATAATTAGTTATTTAATTTATTAAGCTAGCACACACAATTCTAAAAATATTAAAATTGACACGCATAATAATTAAGGATAACTCGGTGCTAACCGGCCTCAAAAATCGAGCCTGGAACCCATACATAATTATTCAGTCTAATTGTAAACATAATTAATTATTTAATTTATTAAGCTAGCACACACAATTGTAAAAATATTAAAATTGACACGAATAATAATTAAGGATAACTCGGTGCTACCGGGCCTCAAATATCGAGCCTGGAACCCGTACATAATTATTCAGTCCAATTTTAAACATAATTAATTATTTAATTTATTAAACTAACACACACAATTAATTTTGTTTAAATTATAGTAGACGACATGGACTTTCCTCCGCCTGCGCATCTCGGACCTGCCGAGGATCAGCTACTAGTGTTGCAGGGCAACCATAGGTCCTCATTTGTATGGGAGGGATAGCTATCGATGCAGCCTCTCAGCCCCAGGAGACCTGACGATTTATGGGAGTTCATCGGAGAGCATCCTTTCCATGCCCGCGTAGTCGCGCGCTTACAGGCTACGAGCTTCTATACGATTTTTGAGCTTGGACGGATGCAGCTTGATTGGTCTCTCATCACGGCCTTGGTAGAGCGGTGGCGACCAGAGCACGTTCGGTGAACAACTGGTCTAGACTCATCCCACATCGCTGACCGAAATTCATCATCATACCTTGTGAGGGCATCCACGTTCGGCATGCTTGGCAAATTATCAAGGTAGGGAATATTCCGCTCATGAAATGGCACGTGGGACTCGTACACTCTTGGTCTAGCTGGAGGTGGAGGAACACGCTCCCTCGTCAACTCAGGTTCAACATTCACTCCCTCCTCCTCATCACCCTCATCATGGAAGGGTGTGTCATCCCCAGACTTATCCGCATTGTTGTCATAATCACTATCATCTTCCTAACTCTGCGCATCTGCCAAATCACGAGTAAATACGTCGTCTATGGGCAACTGTGTGAGGTCAGGAGCTTCAAGAAGCTCGTTTTCACTGCACATAAAGAACAAAATGATAAGTTACCCAACTAGATAAATACTTTAGATATAGCTATATCACTTTACTTACAAGTCGTACTGTCTTGACGTTTCATGATGGATATTTTCTTGTTGGTGATGACTCTCAGATGGACCATCATTGTCCAATACTCCAGAACTACGCATATTCCAACTAGGGGCAGGGTCATAACTTGTAAAATTCATATCCGGACGGTACCCCCTATGAAAAATATGAGTGTTAATATAAATCCAATTACAACATAAATTAAACATCTCTAAAGCGTAGTAAAATTGAAGTTTACCAGTCGTCTTGTTGATTATCTAAAGTCGAAAAATTATNTAGAGTACAACGTAATTATTTAATGTAAAACGCATTATTATACTGCATTTTACAAATGTATCTTAATAAAACGCAGTATAGTACTGCGAATTACAAAAAAAATAATTTTTTAAGTAAAACGCAGTACTATACTACGAATTACTTTAACGGCAAAATTTCTGTTAAAGTAATTTACAGTATAATATTGCGTTTTATTTATTTATGTAACTTTTTTTTAAAATAGTACAAAAGTGTTTTTTGTCCAAAAAATAATTAAAAAAGTTTCGGACTCCAATTTAGCATATTCTGTTTTATTAGGTGAAGACTAGGGAGACAAAATCAAAGACCATGAGGGCCTTCTACCTAATCTCTTTTTCTATTTGGATTACAGGGACAATTACGTCAACGGAACAGCAGACATAATTAGCGGGCAAACTTTTGTCCCACTGAAATAATGATAGCAATGGAACAAAGCTGAATTTAACACCAAAAAGTTCCATCATAATCCAGATTTGGGTTGGCATAACATAACAGTACAGTCAACTTGGTCATTCTTTATATAGTACTCCCTCTGTTTCAGTTTATGTGAACCTATATGATCCATTTCTAAATTTGGTAATAATTTAGCTTAAACTTATAATTTTATCTTTAATAAAAAGCTTTTATATTTACATAAATACTCTAAGCCCATTTTTGACTTGTTTAGAACCACAAATTCCAAAAGTTTTATTTTTTTTTTAAACTCCGTGCACAATTAAAATGATCCATTTCTAAATTTGGTAATAATTTAGCTAAAACTTATAATTTTATCCTTAATAAAAAGCTTTTATATTTACATAAATACTCTAAGCCCATTTTTGACTTGTTTAGAACCACAAATTCCAAAAGTTTTATTTTTTTTTTAAACTCCGTGCACAATTAAACGGGTTCACATAAATTGGAACATGGAATAACTTAATTTGACATTGTCAAGCACAACGCCTCTTGATTTTTCTAACATGCGACTTTGTCCTAAGTCCAAACAAACCGTCTTGAATTGCTGCTGTTCAACAAAGTACAAAACTATATAAAAACAAACTCTAAACCAAAAATGCATTTCCAATCCTCACATCCTAGTAATTATTTACACAGTAATCACAATTATAGTCCAAATTACATTTTTAATAACTACCACCAGAACTAGAAAAAGAAGAGTTGGGACCCAATGCAGTACATCAAAAGCTAAAAAAGCAAGTCAAAAAAAGATTTTAACCATGAAACATGATAATTGAGTCCCAAATCCCAGAATATGTGATAATTACACCTTTTTGTACTCGGTCATAATTCAGAACTCGGTTGAGTTGAGATTGTGAGTGGTTCTTCCGACTCGGTACTGAATCCGACTCACTCGTCCCTCCAACACTCCCTCCCAATCAACCTCTTCTTCGTCATCCTCCTCCTTGTACCTTCCTCGCATGGAAATCAACATCCTCTTTGCTTTCTCCCTCGCCCGCTCGCTCCCTCTCTCCACCACCGTCTGCAATATTTCCGCCGCCTTCGCCTCTTTCGCCAACCCCTTGAACCTCAGGCTACCATGACTCAGTGAGTAAAGAGCCGCCACGCAATTCTCCCGAGTTGACTCATCCAACTCACTCCCCTTTCTCAGTATTCCCACTAGTACCTCTACGGCGTTGGCGTCCAGCAACGCAGTTTTCCCCTCTTGACATACCGCCAAATTGCACACAACCAACACCACCCGACCCGCCATATCGCCGGATTTCAGCATTCCCAGAAGCGTACTCGCGGCTCCGAGTTTAATGAGCTTAGCCCGGTTACTTTGCACCAAGGTTAAATGATAAAGAGCCAATGCTGAGTCATGACGAGTCCGCTCAGTACCCGACCTCAGCGCGTGTAAAAGCGGCTGCAACGCACCTAACACTCCAATCGCCGTCTTGTTGTCATCTTCAAGAGCCAAGCTAAATATAGCGCCGGCTGCATGCTCCTGAGACTCCTCGAAGCCGCCTTTCAAAACATCAATTAACAGCGGAGTAATACCCGCCCTAACGATTCTTACTTTGTTGACTTCTGCCAGCGAGAGGTTGACCATTGCGGCGACGGCGTTCGTCTGAACACTGGCGTACCTTGAGACCATCAGCGGCTTCAGAGCCGATAAAAGCCGCGGCGTGCACAGTGAAACCCTAGCTTCCTCATCAGTTCTAGTGCTTTTCCTCAGTGAAATTACAGCTTGTTCCTGGTCATAAACATCTAATTTCTTGAACTGTACAACGTAATAATCATCTTCGGATGACGTGGAAGCAGAAGACGGGACTTCATCGGAGACTATAATCTCCGACGAAGTCGATTGCGACGACGAAGAGGAATAGCAGGAGGGACGAGTGGTAAAAGGGAGCAGCGGCGAGTTGTTAGCGATGACAGATTCTTCTGAGCTCGAAGGAGAGTAAAAGTGATGATTATTCCTTGGGGTCAGTTCAGAGGCGGCGTGAGATAAAAGCATAGGTGGATTTTCCGCTACGCTTTTAAGCAATTCCCTCTCTGAAACTCGTATTCTGGGATCTTCTTTGGTGGTCGAAACAGAAGAAGAAGGCACCAAAGTGCGAACAGTGGACTCGACGGCGTAATAATCGGGTGGCCGAGGCTTCTCCGCTCCAGACTTTTCACACCAGCTGAGAATCGTCGTCCTCAAAGCTAAATTAGGAATCACGTTAGAGAAATCAGGGGTTGAGCCGTTGGGAAGTTGGGGTTTAAACCCTAAATCTTTACATACTTGAACAGAAGTGCGCTCGAAAGTTTGGCCGGAAGACACCACAACTGGATCATACATCAAAGATCCATAAATGGGACACAAGAGTTCTTTTGGAGGATCCTTTTTATCGAATTTGGAGGAAGAAGAGGCTGAAGAAGAAGAAGACCTGTAAATGAAGATTTTCCATCTGGATTTGCTATTTCCACCACCCATTTCCCCTTTAGCTTTTCTAAAAGGGGAATACATGGTGGTGAAAGACGAATAATAGGTAAAGCTGCAAAAGGATTAGATTTAATAGGTGAGGATGATGAAACAGAAGAGAAAAAGTCGGAGATTCATGTGGGAATTTTTGAATTTTAATTTACAAGATTCAGTTTTGATAGAGTCAGATTTCAGTAGGGGAATTGAAGATTGAGATACTTTGGAGTTTGGAGAGATTGACGTTTGTGTACACGAACTGAAAGAGTGATTCGGTATCCTATGCTTTTAGGGCTTGCTTCTGCAGTTATTTACTTAAGTTACCATTTGAGTGGTTTAAGATTTAGTCTAACATAGACAGCTCACTGTGCCATTTCATGTCCTTTTACAGCCTACCTTTATTTTGGTAGCTTTCCACCACTAATACTTCTCTTTGTTTCTTTCTAAATGCTTCTAGATCACAAGTTAAAAACACAATTAATATGCAAATTATATATAAACAACAACAACAACCCAGTGTAATTTCACTAGTGGAATTTGGGAGGGTAATGTCTATGCAGAGTTTACCCCTATCCTGAGGGATAGACATGCTGTTTTCAAGAGACCCTCGGCTCAAAATGAAAACAAGAGACGATATATTAGTACCATCAATAGAATCATAATAAAATAACAGCACTATAAGAAATACGAAACAAATGAAAAGTACAACAATAACTGGTAGATAAAGTCCTGCATCAATAGATAAACACAAGCATTCTAGAACTAAATCTTATCTAGCTAGTCTCACTCTGGTACTAATATCCAGGAAATTATATATAAAGATTTTGTAAAAATAATTTTACACTATTACAAGACTTAAAGAAATAATTATAAGTACTTGTTCATAAAAGGTAAAAATAGTTAGTATAAAGCGGTAGGTTATTTACCACTACAATTGTTATAGTTAAAAGAAATTGATAGTTCAAAATATTATACATGTCAATATATATTAAGTTATATCTTTTTCAATATTATTCAATTTTTATGAGGAAACAAATATCTTCTCTACGCTGGTGTAAAAAATAGAAAATGGAGAAATAAATAATGAAGTCAAAAAGATACTAGTTCAATGGCTAAGATTGCTAACTTATAAAAGTTGAAGGGCGTGCAGCATTTTTATCCATTTTGCAGTTAGCAATTTGTTGTGATTAGGGGTGGTAAACGAGCAGGTGGGGCCGGATATGAGCAGGTAAAAACGGATAAATTATTCGACCAGATCCATTTTTGAGACGGATAAAAATGAGTTTATCCGGCGTATAATATGGACCATTGCTTCTTAAATATGTTCACTTATGAGAGAATTTCTAGTCTTCCAAACTTGAGGAATCCCAATTTGAGGTTTTACAAATATAAAAGCTAAACACATTAATTATCCATTTGATTAACTATTTTCTAAGTGAATAATATAATTCTTTATTCATATTCGATCCATTTTTAAATGGTTTTTTATCCACCTTTAATTGTGATCAAATCATTGGTGCCCGCAACCGATTTACGTATGCTTTTCCTTCCCCCAAATCCGAATGGATCTACCAATGCATATTCTTATACTTCGAACAAATAAATTGGTATGTTTAGACGAGTGCTAGTGATTCCCAGTATGGGTTGATACATTATTAAGCAGAAGGCCCATACTGTGTCTGGTCAAATAATGCAACTTTTAAGAACTGTGTTAGCTTGCATTCTCATAGACTGAAGAGAGCTTAGCTAATTTCGGATAATACCTATTCTTAATTTGGATTATAATATGTGTGCTCTAATTACAACTAGTGTATCCCTTCATGTACTACTCAAACGCCACTACAAGAGAGATGTGTATGGGTCAAAATCAAACAAGAAATTCAATACGCGGAGAGGATTATCATGAGTGACCTACAAATCAATATGGGCATTTTGGCCGAGGTCGATCAGTGGTCAACAGAAGTAGCCGCTGAGTGGTTCATCAAGGTCGAGATCGAATAGCAAGGACAGAAGTAACGGCTAGTAAAGCTTTGGAACCAACAAGGGAATATTCAACGGAAATATTCTATGGAATATTCTATTGAATATTTCCTCTATTTGTACCTTTTAGGGTTCTTTGGGAATACCCCATATAAAAATAAGAAAAAAAGGCATGTAATATTCCATATGATAAGAACACTTTTGAAAAGTGAGCTCTCTAGATAATTACAAAGAACAACTTTCTGAAGAAATTCTATCCTTTTGTATTATCCATTGTCAATTCCATCAGATCCGAGAAAGTACCATATACTCTCTTATATTCTTGTCATTCATCATTGTCAGAAGAAATAATCATTCACCTCATTCAATATTGGGTGAATATTCCTCCTTATTTACATTTAGTGCCATTTATTGTATTTATTGCTTATCATTATCCTCATTCCATTAGCAACCATAATAATTAATGTGTATTGCATTAAATCCATTTTAACATGGTCCACACACTATTCACATAAATATATGTTAGATCCAAGATTATTATCTTTAACTAGGATTAGCCCTTTATCTTTTTACTTAATTAGTTTAACAAAAAGTTTTATACTTTTTGGTCAAACAATTTGGCGCCGTCTATGGGAATGTTCTAGTTAAAATATTAGTTTTCTCTAGATCTATAACACAAAAAAAATGCAAAAAACACTTCCTTGTGCACACAAATCTAACATGGCGAATAATGGAGAGGAAAAGAGGAAAGCAATAGCTGACCTCACTGCCAATCTCCTCAACACCATCAACGAAGTCGATGAAACGGAGGGTGAGGACGTAACACCAAATACATCTCCCTGGTGAAACAGCTCGCCCCCTCCTCATGGCAGCATCACAACCTTGCGCGTTAATGATACAGGTAACTACACCCTCACAGCCATTCCGATGAAGATGGAGGAGATGGATAACGAGAACAAAATGCTCTGTGACCAATGAAAGAGCATCAAGAAAGGGTAGACAAAATACCAGGCGCCCCAAAACTCTTACCAAAAGGGACACCGACCGGTTCGTATAGAAACCATACAGTGAAGAAGTTGCACCATACGCTATACCCACTATGTCACCGCAGTAAAAGGCAACGACCTCGCCAAAGAATAAGTTTCTTCCATATTACTGAAGAAGTTTGGCGAAACCCTCACCGGGGAAGCACTAACTTGGTATTCACAACTGCCTGCATGCTCAATTGAAATGTTTGAGGAAATGACCGACAAGTTTGTGACTACCCATATCGGGGCTAAAAAAAGCAGAGGTGAGGGTGAATGACATATTTGCCATCAAATAATCACCCGGTGAAGGACTAAGAGATTTCCTCGCCCGATTCTACCGTGTGAGGATAACCTTACCAAATGTATCAAAGGGAATGGCAGTAGCAGCTTTCCAGAACGGGTTAAACATGAATGGTTCAAGAGTGACCAGAAAATCATTAAACTGACTCATGAAACATCCCCCAACCACTTAGGATGAGATACAAAACGCTTACTCAACGGCTAACTTCAGTCCAAATGGAATCCAGGAAAGACCGAAGAAATGACAACAGAAAGGACCGTGCAGGCTCACGACCCAACCGTGAAAGACATCAACCAGATGTCAGAGCCGCCATCATATCACCTCCCCGTTATGGCGACGGCCCATCTAGGTTGCCAACAGGGACTCACCGAAGCGACTCCACTTCTATCTACTCACAATTTCTGTATTTCTCCTTTAGAAATAGTATACGCCCTAGAGAAGCTCAGCCCAAAAGTGAAATGGCCACAGCAAATGAAGTCCGTCCCAAACACCAGAATGTAAAACGCCCCTTTGCGAGTTCCATCAAGTATGGGTCCACAAAATCGAGGATTGAATTGCCCTTAGGAAAGAGGTCATGAACATGCTTCACCAAGGACATCTGAAGGAACTTTTGAGCGATCAAGGAAGGACAAATTTCGCTCGAGGACGCGAACAACATCAGGGTCCACCAAAACCACCCTCCCCAACTCGAACCATCCAAATGGTCATCGGAGGAGGTGACGAAGCGTCAATCGACGACGTAAAATTCACGACCACCCATAAGATGAAACGGTCAATTACTCATGAATGGTATGATGAACTCAAAGAGAGTATCATCTTCGATAATTCGAATACCCACCGTTTGGTCTTTCCTCATTATGACGCCCTTGTTATTACTTTATGCATCTTAGATATTGACGTAAAATGTATTATGGTTGATGATGGGAGCGGTGTGTGCATTTTCCACATTCAAGTTCTCGCACAAATGAAGTTCAAGTATAGGATAGTGCTACATTTTATCACACTAACGAGTTTTAATAATGCAGTTGAGCGGACATCTGGAGAAATCACGCTACCCGTCCTAGCCAGCGGTGTCGCCTTGGATACCATGTTCCACATCATGAACTAGGATACAACATACAATGCCATCATTTGTCGCCCCTAGATACACTCCATGAAAGCCGTCCCGTCCAGCTTGTATCAAGTCATCAAATTTCTCACTCCTTGAGGGGTGTTCAACATCCGAGGAGAGAAACGCACTACCTGAGAATGCTACCGTATCGCTTAAGACTGCACAGACACTCAACAATTAAAAGGCAAAGCAGAGGTTGCATAGCAATTAACAGGTTCAGGGTCAGGTGGTGACGAGGGGAAAGATATCATCAAGGACCCCGAAATCATAGAGGCCATAGGATCGACCGTGGAGGATCTCGACCTCGTACAACTAGACAAAGACAACCACAGCAAAAAGGCTAACATCGGCCATAAACTTCAAGAACCAGGTAAATTCCATCATTTTTAAGCTAACAACGTAGACTTGTTTGCCTTTTACCTTGCAGATATGCCGGGCATCCTGAAAGAGGTTGCAACACACAAGTTGAATGTCGACCCATTTTACCCCACCCCCCAATGCAGCAAGTTAGGAGGAAATTCAACTCTACAGTAAATGACATGGTCCGCGAGTAGGTTGAAAAAATGTTAGAAAATGACTCTATTAGAGAAACGAAGTACCCTCAATGGGTCGCCAACGTGGTCATGGTGAAAAAGAAGAATCGGAAGTGGCGGATGTGCGTAGACTTCACAGATCTTAACAGAGCCTGCCCGAACGATTCATTCCTACTACCCCATATTGACCAACTCATTGACTCAACAGCCGGGAACGAGCTATTAAGCATCTTGGACGCCTACTCGGGCTACAACCAGATCCTTGTGAAGGAGAAAGGCCAAGAAAAGACCACTTTCATCACTCACTAGGGGACATACTACTATAGAGTGATGCCTTTCAGATTGAAAAATGTGGGGGCGACGTACCAGAGGCTGGTGACAAAAATGTTCAAAGACCAGCTCGGCAAAACCATGGA